CAAGGTGGAACAGGAAGCCAGGGACAACAAAACAGTACCGCACTCTGTGAGCTCCCAGTCATAATATCACATGGTGAGACCCTGTCCCCACCGAACACGAAAACCAAATATCGTATGATGCTGCTTGATCCTCTGGGCCAGGTCAAACGCTTAACCTAGAATGGCGGGTGTTAGGGAGAGGGAGGGGCATTCTTTAGTGGGTAAGAGTTTGCACTTTGCAAGATGGGGCCAAGGTAGAGACAGGCAGCGAAGCTCACAGAGACTCGGCTGGGGCGTTGGTCAGTGGGGGCGTACTTGTCGAGTGTGGGCGAGGCCCTGAGTTCAAGCTTCAGTGCAGCACAGAAGTTAAAATGAAAATGGTTGAGCATAGCATCTGTGTTAGGTGCCTTTTACCACAATAGCAGTTGCCCTAAAGTTGGGGAGAATGAACAAGTTAAAAAGGAGTTAGGCCCATCTAGGGTCATACTAAGTGGTTTTTCTTGATGCCTCAGTGGCTTGGCCTCTGTTTCCTGTGGGAAATGGATGTCTCCAGGGTTGCAGAGATCGAGTGGGGGATGTTCTCACAAGCAGTGCTGAGGTTAGAGCCCGGCCATTAGGATGGCTCACCAGCATTTCCATAGTGCCTCCCCGCCCCAGGCCTGGGGCTGCTTACTTGGGCCCTGTGCCTGTCACCTCTGGGATGCAGATCCCTCCAGGTGCTCTTGCATACTTGCCAGACTCCATGCTGTACCTGGTGTCCCTAGAGTCTTCACCTCAGACTTGCTAGAGGCTGTGTGGCCTCAGGAATTGAAGGAGGCAGGTAGGTTCAGGGCAGCCAGAGCACTTGATCCCACAGCCATCCAGCTGCACCCTGTACTTGGGCAGGCCCTCTGTCAGCTTCACGGTGAACTGAGGGTCTTGACAGCCAAGTGAGGGCAGTCAGATGAGTGGGGTGCCCAGCTCTGGCATCTCTGGTCCCTTGTATCAGCCCACATGTATTCCAGACAGTGACAGAGCTGGGAGGGCAAGTGAGGGAGTGCCTTGGCCACTGAGAGAGAGGCTGAGCCTCTATAGGGAGGGTTCCTTGCTTCTCTGAGAGCCCTGTGGAGACCAGGCCCTGGGGACAGATCAGCAGTGAGCAAAGCAGATCCCTGCCCCCTGGGAGGCACATTCAGCTTCTTCATGTTCTTGTGGGAGGCTGGTGGCGGTGCAACTAGCTAGAATAGCAGGTGCTGGTGGGCGCCCTGGAGAAAACAAGTTAGGCCCAAGTAAGGCGTTGATGTGGGGCTGACTGGGAGAGCTCTGTAGGAGACCTGAAGTAAGCGAGAGAGCAGTGCTGCTAAGAGGGAACAACAGCACAGACTTTCTAGAACTTTCTGGGAGTAATAGCAGAAAGGCCCGTAGCCTGGACCAGGATAGCAGAGGAAAGCCAGGGAGACACCAGAGCATGCAGAGGCTCTGGGGAGAGGAGGTCATGGTTTGGAGGGACACGGAAAACGTTGTGGAGATCAGGGAAGTGGTGACCCATGGACAGCAGGACCCAGCCAGAGCATGTGCTGAAAGACTGTGTCAGACTGTGGGAGCCAGCTTAGGTTTTATTGCACAGCACAGAGCCTCCTCCTGTGGCTCTCCCTGGTTGATGTGATTTGACCCCAAGAGCTGTCAGGGCAGGGCTCTGCCTTCCCTACCACCAGGTTTGTGCTTCCCATGGTGCTTTTGTGATGATGATGTGTATAAGCTCTCTCTCTAGTACCAGGGTTCGGCCATGGGGAGGGAGGACTGGGATGTCTCCAACTTAGGTATCCTTTTGGGGGACTGGTTTTTGGATTTTTGTTTGCCTATCTGTTCATTGTTTTTCCAGACAGGGTTCCTCTCTGTAGCCCTGGCTGTCCTAGCACTAGTTCTGTAGACCAGGCTGGCCTCGAACTCACAGATCCATCCGCCTGCCTCTGCCTCCCCAGTGCTGGGGTTAAAAGCCTGTGCCACCATGCCCAGCTCTTTGTTGAACTGTTTATACACTCAGTCTTCTTTCAGTGCTGAGGGTGGAGCTAGGACCTTCCAGCCTCAGCCTCTTGCTGTCAGGCGGCACTGTCTCCCAGGGTTACAGCCCGAGCCCAGCTTAGCTTGTGTGGGACTGAGTGTCTTTGTGCCTTGCCTGTGCCGGGTGTCAGTCCCACTGTCCTGGTGCATGTGGAGGGGGCCTTTCCCTGCCTGTCGTCTCCCTGGAGCCTGCAGATGAGTCTCTGCTCTTGCTCGTGTGAGCGTCCTGCCCCAGAGGCTGCTGCAGGCCCAGCGCTCAGCTCACACTGTGCTCCAAATGGATGGCCCGGAATGGGCATGAAGAGTTAGGGGTAATACTTTAGATGGTGTGCCTATGGCCCAGGAAGGATTTTAATTTGTAATCCTCCTGCTTCAGTTTCCCAAGTAGCTGGGAGTGAGTCTGGCTGGCAGGATGCCTCAGCTAGAGCAGAGTTCAGCCCTGTTGGCCACGCCTGGGAGGGCACAGTTCCCTGTCCATGATTTTGGTTAAGCTGCTGGTGCTGTGCCTGTTGGCTCTCCGGTGAGGAGTGGCCCAGGGACTTGACCCAGAGGCCAGATGACCACTAGGCCTACCTGTGGAGGTGGAGTGGGCATTGGCTCCTTGGTAACCTCTGACCTGTCCCTCCCTGCAGAAGACAGACCCCGCCCAGTTCCTGCAGGTGCATGGCCGAGCCTGCAAGGTTCACCTGGACTCTGCTGTTGCCCTGGCTGCTGAGAGCCCTGTGAACATGTAAGACTGTTGGGGGCTCTGTATTGTCAGAAGGGACTGGGGGTACTCTAGAGTCTGCAGTAGAGGCGCGCGCGGGTGAGCGGGTAAGGACAGACTTCTGTGTGATCAGGCTGGGAGGGCCGTCATGTAAAGTTGAGTGTCTGAGGTTATGTAGATGGTCACAGTGGGGAGGACTCAAGGCTGGCTGAGGCTCATGGGGGGGCTGTTTTAGGATGACTGTGGTTTAAGTTCCTTGCTGTTGCCTGGCCCTGAGAAGTGGGGTCCTATTTTGTGGACTGGCAGATGGGTGGCTTGTTGTTGGGACCCAG